GAAATTTTAATCCTGTTACGAGAATGGATGTTATTATTTGACGGTAACATATTTTAGGTAACATATAGTATCTTTCTATTCTATTTCTCGCACGCACACCGCCTATTCTTCCCGCTGATTTCGCTGCTGCTTGCATCCGCATTTCTCGCTAACGCTTCGCGCAATCTCCGATACGACTGCCGTTGTCGGGGATTGCTTCTCAGAACGATCAGGCGATAATCCGAGATCGCGCGTGGCAACTTATCGAGCTAATCCGTCGATCTGCTCACAGACCGCGAAAGCCCGATCTGCGAGCTCTGCCGAGGTAACGGCTACGTCGTCGTGCACTGCGAGCACTGCGACTTCTCCAGCGACGGCGACCTGATCTGCTTCCGCTGTCAGAGCGACGAGGGCTCGTCCAACGGTCAGGTATGCCCGCGTTGTGAGCGGGAAGCCGGAGTCACGTCGAGCACTGGCAGATCCGGCTCCAGCGACGAGGGGAACGGCAAGTACCCCGTGGACGCCGTGGTGAAGATCCAGGTGAACGATCGGACGATCGACGTTGACTCCGACGAGACCCCCGAGAGCGAGAGCTCGGGCAATTATCATCCCCAGAGGGGTGCGATGGATCGACTCGATACCATCGTCGAGACGAAGGGCGACACTGCCAGCGAGAACGACGAGGAAAACGGCGGCGGCGCGAAGCTCAACGGTACCACTAGCGCGAGATATCTCAATTATATGATCGTGCTGTTCCTGTAAATAGAAGACGACATTGAAGTAGATGCGGCCGGACCCGCGGCCCGCGGCTTTGCTTGGCGCGATATCGTACACGAGGGGGTCGTAAATTGTTGGATCGTTGAAGCGGTAATTTTCTCAATTAACCGATATCATCGTAATCTGACGGAAATGATTTCAATCGTAATTATTAACCGAGCAAAAATGATTTTATCTGAGAAAAATTTCGGCGTTTCTTAATTTTCTAATTTCACTTTGACTTTGAGACTAGACACACAGAGATTTTGTGACGTTACGTCCACAATGTGTTACGATCGATCCGCAAAATTGGTTGGCTGGAGCGATGGCGAACGCCAAATCATTTACGAACCAATGATACTAATCAGAGGGCCGCGGCTCGAGCCGCACTGTAAATAAACTGCCACTGGATATAATTGATCCATACAATATAGAACCGTATAGATTAATTAATAGATAGCTCGTATTAGTTAAGATGCAGATCAAGCGAGGCGGAAAGAAGGGAAGAGAGATAAGAGAATGTGTGTGCGTGTGTGTATCACGTTCGACGCGCGCAGTATTGCCGTGAGCTGAGATCCGTGACGCAAAAGTCGACACGTTTCGACACGCGATTCTTGGAGCGGGTATGTGCAAAGATTATAATTACTCAGTTGCAGATTAGGGCTTATCTGGTCGCCAGCGACGGCGATGCGTCAATTTGGATCAATTAAATATATTTATACGCCTTACAGTAATGTCGAGTCTAAGTAGCTTTAAATCGTAGACACGAGTGGGCAAAAGTAGAACAGAAATTAGGACACTGCTCGTTCAGTGTTATTAGTAATCGGACAAGAATAATTTTGACATTGCTCGTTTTTCTTATCAATGAGCTTTATATATACATATATATATATTTTTTTTTTTTTTTCGATATTTTAAGGTTTGATGATTTACAGAAATTATTATTATTTTAAAGTAATTTAAAGAGGGGCGAACAGGCGATATTGATCACAAGTAATTACGATTCTTGCACAACTCTCTACTAACTCATGTTCGGGACCAACTAAAGCCATCACCTACATCACTGCTTCCGACTTTCGCTTCCACCCGTGATCATCGTTTGTTCGTTCGGTCAAAAAAAGGAATTTAGAAAAAACTCCTAATCTTTCTTTCCCGATGAAAATCGGCGACATCTTCATAATGTACCGAGACAGTCGAACCGAACACTTCATTCTCCCACAGCGAAAAAGGCAAGATAGAGAGACGCGATACACGAGCGCGCGAATTCACCGAATCTTGTGAAAAAAGAGGAAGATAAGAGAGAAGAAACCATTTCGTTCTCCTCCCACGTTTGTAACACGCGGCAGCGATTTTTTTTAACGTTTATAAATTATGAAGTAGAGTCCTTAGACGTGTATGTTTTTTAACATTCATCTTTCAATTCCATACCCCGATGTATCTGAAATTTTCGGCATGTCGAAAAATGGATCAAATTTGCTAGAGTCATATACAATAAATGCAAATGAAGAAGGTAACGAAAGAAGAGAAAAAAATCGATTCTCCTTCTTTCTTTTACTTTTTCGTCGATTCGAAGAATAATGAAGAAGGTAATTCGAGCGATCGCAAAGTTAAGCTGAGTGAATGGACGCATTATAAAAAACGACTGATTGAGACTGGTATAATTCCGAGTAATGTACTTATTGTCGATTTCACGAGTAAGCAGATTGTCCTGCTGGAATGCTTTTAGTTATAGAAATTTGGAATAATTAAGACGAAGAAAATTAAAAATCTTAGAAAATAAAAAAGACATTAGAAATGCAAAATTTAGAAAGATTCAAGCATTTTTTACAGTATCGATAACTCGCGGGATTTGGTATTTGCGGCAATGAGCTTTCGAGTTCCTAACGCCTAATAATAATAATAATAATAATCGATAACTCGCTAATTACGTCGAAATCATATCAGTGTCAATCCTTGAACTCGGAAGCGATCAACCCGAGGAGGTAGAAGAGCAACATAAATCTCGCGGACTGGGTTCATGTCATCTGTATGATATTCACCGAATAATGATTACCACGTAAGACATTATCCTTAGGAAGTATCAGTACCCGATAAGCTAATCCCGCCGTGCTGCGAAGTCGCGGTAACCCGAAAAAAAGTGTAGAAAGAAATGAAGATAGCAGGGAAGAAAAAAAAAGGAAACATCATGACCGGTAGATCAGTTTGGAAAACACATAGCGATTAAGTGCTCTTACTAGGGAAAAAAAAAAAATATATGAAAGCTTTGCAAAGATTACAGGCGTGCGTCCCGCGCGATCTCCTCCGCTCGAGTTACGGCGCTCTCCGCGGCCGATGGGGAACATCACTCTACTGCCACGTTGATTTAGAACACCTCTGTAAATTTATTAGGGGAATTTGTAACACGTTAGGGCGACACTTCGATAAACCGTTGAGATTATATTTATTCCCGTACGCGCGATCCCGAGGTAGACGAGATACTCGAATTTCCCCGCCTCCGTCTCCGAGAACGATCGGACTGAAAAGGATCTGGAGATAAATGATTCACGCAAGACGCTTGGTATCGAGATAAAGTGCATTCGATGGTCGAAAGTACATCAGAGAGAAGTATCCAACCTTTGCGGTTTAAATTATTTCTAGCAAATAAAGCGTTCCTTGGAAATACATTGTAACTTTGTTATGCATCGTTATATTGCAACATTGTTATAGAAAGTGAGGTTTTAATGGCAAACATGTTGTTTTAAGAAAAAACATTGCATGTTTTTTCATATTTTTTAAGATTCCAAAAATATATACATAGTTTAATTGTAATATACAATTATTATTAAATTGTTATGATTATTAATTATAATATACGTATACATATATTATAATCATATATTAATTCAACAATAATTGTTTAAACTTTAAAATTAAACAATTATGTAGGGTATCACAATGTCGAATCCAACTTGATATAGAACTACAAAGAATTAAACATCAAACCCGTAAACACGAAAGCTCTTGGAAACTGTATTATACTTACGAGCATTATATTATTAAAACTGCACAGGTGGAAGTTCTCGAATATGGATCACTTTTAATTTCAAGAGATTTATTGAAGTTTTACTGTCGAGAGCTATTAAAAAAATAAAACTAACAAATAAATCCAAATTTCGACGTTCACACGTGTTATAATGATTCGTGTTCATTTCAGAGA